TATATATATGTATAGCCAGGTGTGGTGGTTGGCGCCTGTAGTCCCAGCTACTTGGGAGGCTGAGGCAGGAGAATGGCGTGAACCCGGGAGGCAGAGGTTGCAGTGAGCCGAGATCGCGCCACTGCACTCCAGCAGAGACTCCATCTCAAAAAAAAATAAAAAAAAAAGAACTCAGAGCAGGTAGCTGCTATTGCTGCCTCAGGCACTGAATGATGGCTGGGCTTTATGCCAGCATCTCTGTCCTTCTTTGGCCTTCCCCCTACGGAAAGAGGCAGAAAGTGAGGCCATCGTGTGATCAGAGAAAAAGGAATCAGAGAGAAGGTTAAACCGCTCAGTGTGATAAAAGGACAGGAGTTTGGAGATGGGAGAACAGACAGAGAGGAGAGAAGAGAAGAGGAGAGAGAATAGAATAACCAGCTGTCACCCAGGCTGGAGTCCAGTGGTGCAGTCTCAGCTCACTGCAGCCTTGCCTCCCAGGCTCTAGAGATTCTTATGCCTCAGCCTCCCAAGTAGCTGGGGCTACGGGTGGGTATCACCACATCTGGCTAATTTTTGTATTTTTAGTAGAGATAGGGTTTCACTATGTTGGCCAGGCTGGTCTCGAACTCTTGACTTCCAATGATCCTCCAGCCTCAGCCTCCCAAAGTGCTGGGATTACAGGCATGAGCCACTGCGTCCAGATGACAGAGAGACTTTAAGCACAGAGAGGTTTAACACTCCATTTTAAGCTGTTTATTTGCTGTGAGTAAACTCGCTTTGTCTCCCCAAGTCCTAGGAGAAGACAGCTCAGATAGACCAGCCCCAGGGACCTGAACATGGGCTGCTGGAGGACACATGTCTACTTTGTGTCCCTGGGGACAGAAAGACCAAGAATCAGGGATGCACGCATTCACAGCCGAAGGTGACAGTGAGATCGTGAAACCAGGGAGTGCGCAGAAATCCTGGAGTGCAGGGCCCCTTGGGGGAACAGGGGCACAGCATGAGGCAATCATGGGTTCTTGCTGTGTTGGATAACACATCCCCTTATCATAGAGCCACTCTGAGTTGGGGCTCCTCTCACTTGTACCCCAGAGCATCCAGTTGACATCTCCATTTTGGAGCCCCACGCTTTCTGTGCATGCCTCACTATGGCACGTGTCGCTCCTCATGGTCATTTCTGGTTTTTGTTTGTTTTGTTTTGTTAGAGACACAGCCTCGCTCGATCACCCAGGCTGGAGTGCAATGGCACAATCTCAGCCCACTGCAACCTCTGCCTCCTGGGTTCAAACGATCCTCCCACCTCAGCCTCCCAAGTAGCTGGGACTACAGGTTCACACCACCACACCCGGCTGATTTTTGTATTTTTAGTAAAGACAGGGGTTTCACCATGTTGGCCAGGCTGGTCTCAAACTCCTGACCTCAGGTGATCCGCCCACCTCGGCCTCCCAAAGTACTGGGATTACAGGCGTGAGCCACCGCGCCCGGCCCTGCACAGTAACTTCTGCTGTTCTTGGACACTCCCACCTCGGGGTTTTTGCATCAGCTGTTCCTTCTGCTTGGACTGCCCTTCTTCTTCAAGATCCCCACTTATGCAGTCCTTTCTGTGCTCAGTTCAAACACCTCCTTCTGCGGGAAGCTCTCCCTGCCCGTGCAGTGTGGATGGGTCCCCCGCATCTGTCGCCATCATGTCACCCTGTTGTGGTTTCTCCATTTCACTCCTCACTGTCGGTGGTGTGTTTGCTGGCTTCCTGTCTGTCCTTCATCAGCCCACGGAGGCATCTAGACCTGTGTCGCCCATGGCTGTGTTCCCAGCACCCAGCACTGAGCACGGGAAGGACTCAGGAGGGAAGTTCAGATCCTCAATCTCATGCTGGCCACATGTACCTTCAAGGAGAGCTTCCGGTAGCCTTCTGCTACGTCCCAAATAGCCACAGTCCTATCAAATCCTCCAGAAATGAGAAAAGAGCCTGCAACAGAAAATGAAAGGGTGGAGATGGGGGTCATATTTCTAAGCCAAGTGACCCCAAAGCCAGCTGAAGATGCCTTGGCAAGGTGCCACCTCAGCTCATTCTGATGACACTGAAACCCCTTCCTGGGGTGGCTCCATCACCCCAAGCCAATTACAGCTGATTCTCATCATTCACAGTAGTTATGTTCTATGACAGGTGTCCCCAACCCCTGGGCCACAGACTGGTACCAATCCATGGCCTGTTGGGAGCTGGGCCACACAGCAGACAGTGAGCAGTGGGCAAGCGAGCCAAAGCTTCATCTGTATTTACAGCCGCTCCCCATCGCTCATATTACCAGCTGAGCTCTGCCTCCGGTCAGATCAGCTGCAGCATTCGATTCTCACAGGAGCATGAACC